AAATATTGCCCTCCCAACCAAGTAATTCTCTTATTAAAGTTCCGTTATCTGAATATCAACTAAGCTTTCTTCTTGAGAAGGATTAATTTTGAGCTAAATTTTTTTATGAATTGCTTAATTTATTATTACATCTATGAATGATACTTTTCCATTTTTATAGATATTATCAACAAGTTATGCGAACGCCAAGCATAATTAGTTTTTATTCGCAACTTATAATCCATCCTATATACTCATTAAGCTAGAGTGCTGATGAGTTGATACTATCTATTTTTCTTAGAAACTAAAGAATTAGATGTAGCCTTCCTTTTCTAAAAGGATTAAATATTCTTTAGGCAAGTTCAAATTCGGATCCTCATGCTGGTAGTAAACAAATTTTTGAACACACTTTATTGTATCAATCCTCTTTACTTCATCGTATTAATCTTTTTCAAAAATAATGACTTTCTTATCATTCATCCCGAAGAAGAATAGTCCATTAATTTGATATATAGATATTAGCTCTGAGTCAAGTTCTAAAAGCCACATATCTTGCATCTCTGAGTCAAAAATTAATGTGTTAGTTTCATTTTATCCTACAATAATCTTATTATCATGATCATTATAGCAGATAACAGTTTATTTCTTTTCTTTGCTTAACTGATATACATTTCTAGTCAGTGCATTACTAAATCTTGATAACTCTTTTTTGACCACTTTTCTTATTTTTTTATTTGAAGGTTCCTATGATAAGATAGACTGAAATGTGCTTTTTCTTAAATTTATCTCTATTTAACTCAAGTTAAACAACTCATCAAATAGTTATTTTCTTTAGGTTTCAGATGATTCATTTTCTTTATTTTCAATTATTTTAGATTCCTCAATATAAAGTTTTGATATTTTTTCTTGAGAATTGTTTTCTAATTCTTCAATTTCTTTGAATTACACATTTTAGGTAGATGATTAAATTCCATCAGCATCATTGAATTCTTGACTTTAATCATTCTAATAGTCTCTCATTACAATAAGGGGATTTGGATTACTTATTTTAACTTTTGGTTAAATTTATTTCTAAGGATTTCTATTCGATTCATAATCTGGTTCGTATTAATTCTATTGTGCTTTTAAATGTTCTTCTGCTATGGAAAGATCATTTTCAATTGATTTCTCCGATACCTCTGATAAATACCCTAAATTATTGTTTAAATTTGATTACTCAACTTATTGATTTTCGTAATAAGCTTCATTCTTGGATACTGCTGATATTTCATTATGGAACTCAATTGATCTGTTAATTTGCAAATTATAGTAATTTTAAGCTTCATTTAATTCATTATGATTGAACTCTCTAGGGATTTCATTATTCTACCCATTCTACTATTATTGATATTACTATTAATATCTTTCAACCTCTAACTTTCTTAAGCATTCATTTAAATCCAATTAAGCTTTAAGAAACCAATTATGATCTTCGAGTTCTTTGACTTGCTATATTTTTTTATCCAATTTCTTCTAAATCGCTATTAAGTTCTTCTGAAGTTAAATGTTTAGCTCATCTTTTTCATTTGTAGATTAAATCATTTAACTCAAATTCAATTAATGTTGCTAAAATTAATTCCCATTTAATTGATATCTGTCTTGATTAAATTGATTTTAATGAGGATGCTAGACAAATTAAATTCCATTATTGTTCTGTAAATTACCAAAATCTTAGTTCGAATTCATATTATTACTATTCCATATCTTATTTTGAAAATTTTAATTGATCAATTAAAATTAATTGTTTGTAAATTACTGATCTATTCTTATATTTTAATCTTTTTTAATATATATCTCGAAGGCTTTCGTTATTTCTAAAACAGTATCATCTCCTTTATTTTGGTTGGACTATTTAATCTGATTGAAATCAGATGAGAAATATTTTAATTATGTAGATTCAATATCAGCCTATGCAAACTATAAAATTTCATCAATGAGATCTTTGTTTTTATATCCACTCAAATTCACTATCTATTTAATAATCGTAAAAAATTGCTCTGATCCCCCTATGAATCTCTTAATTTCCAATAAAACTACCTTGATTAATGTGAAAATCAAATCTTCCACATCTTTTTATTTCATTGGCTTATTTGAGCTTTCTAGCTCTTAAGCTTTTTACTCAGTTTAATTAAATAGTGTATTTATCCTATTCTTTAAGAAAGGGATTTCACTTGCCTTTATTTTAATATAATTCATTTTATACTTTTATCAAAATTAAATAAAAATTATATTTTAAATATTACCTATTCATAAGTCATTTATGTTGTAGGGGTTTTGGGGTTTTGGGG